ACTCAAAGCTTTTAGATAAAGGTATAGAATTAAGCTATCTCTAATTTTTTGAGTTCTCAGAGAGTTTCAAACAAAAACAAATGGAAGTTCCTTTAAGCGTCAGAGTTAATTTTCTCCTGTTTCAAAATCTCATAAACTGAATCACCTTCAAGAGATGCTAAAGTTTAACTGATCACTTCCCGGGGTCACTTTTTCAAAAAGCAATTAAATGGCTACTACATGCCAGAGAATGTTGGAGTGCTGGACCTGCAAAGTTGAACAAAACTGTGCCCTTGATCTAATGAACACAGAGATGATTCAGAAGAGACAGTGAGCGAGCAAGCGAGCGAGAGAATGCTATTATAAAATAACTAATCATAATGGGGTAAATGTATGTCACTATTGTGGAAGCACAGGTGAGGGACACCAAGCTCAACCGGAAAGAGATGGGACTCAGCGATGGCAATAATCCTCAGGCTGAGTCTTGAAGGATGAGTAAGGAGCCAGGAGACCTTTTCAGCATATGGACAAGTTGGAATGAGAGGAGGTTTTGGAGGGGAAAATGTGGTGGAAAGAGAGAAGACAGCTATACTTGGAAAATTCTGTATCATGTTAGGGAGCCCACATTTTAACCTGTAATGCAGCAGGTGCCACTGAGGGGATTCAACCAGGGGAGGGGTGTGTTTGTTTTGGGGTTTTAGGGGGATCATGAATGAAGATACTAATGGAGAAGAGAGAGAAAAGGGTAACAGGACCGGAGACAGGTAGGCGGTCTAGAGCAGGGATCAGCAAACTTCTTCCCCAAGGAGACAGCAGACATAAAGTAAGAGGCTTTGGAGGCTGTACTGTCTCCGGTCTCTGTCACAATCAACTCTGCTGTGGTGGTAGATCAGCAGTCATGCGAACAAGGGAATAGAGCTGGCCCCGAAAAAACTTCATTTGCAAAAAAAAACCAGCAGTGGGTTGGGCCCTCAAGCGTTAGTTTGCCAACCCGCAGTCTAGAACAGCACTGTCCTAAAAAGCTTTCTGCAATAATGAAAATGTTCTTTAGATGTGCTCCCCAATCCAGTAGCACTAGCCACGTGGGGTTGTGAGGCATTTGAAATGTTACAAGTTAGACTGAGAACTGAATTTTTGACTTAATTTAAATGTTAAATAGTTACATGTGGCTTGTGGTGACCCTATTGGGCAGGGCAGGGTTAGAGGATGGTACAGTAGCCTATGCAAGAGGTGATGAACGGGGGCACTGAGAGCAGAGACAGAGTCAGTGGCCAAGGTAAGAAATAGTCAAGAGGCTTTCTGGTAGGACCTGGTGATGGAGAAAAAGTCCGAGGTGATTCCCACACGTCAAGCAGGAGTGACCAAGGATGGCTGGGCCACATGCTGAATGAGAGAAGAGAAGAGACTACAGAGGGAAATATGTTGCATTCTATTTTAGACATGTTGAATTTGATGTGGCACCTGGGAGGAGAAAACATTTGACTATAACACAAGTGCATAATATTAAATATGTTCTGTTTAAGGAGAACACAACCGTAGTACAGGGATGTTAAATAACCTACCCAAGGTCAGGGCAAGTAAGTGGCAAGGCTGAATTGCAACTTGAGTGTATCTGATTCTAAAATTCATGCATTGTCCATTATGCCAAAATGAGCAAACAGGTTATCACTGATGCCTTGAAAATAGAACCTCACCCCAGGGAGAAGCAGGGGAAGATCAGCAGGCCTAGAAGAGAGCCTTGGGGCACGTACAGAACTGTCTCTTACTAAGGAGACTGAGAGAGGACAGTCAGAGCAATACAAGGATAGGATGAGTGGGGTGTCATGAAAGCAAAGGGAGCTGGGCCTTACAGGGAGGTGATAAATAGCATCGAGTCCACAGAGAGACACAAGACAGGCACCAAGGGAGGCCACAAGAGTTTACAACTAGAAGTCACGGATGCCTCTAATGAAACAGTTCCAGCAGAATGGCAGAAGAGGAAGCCTAACTTTAATGAATTAAAGAGAAAAAGAAGATTTTTTAAAAAAGTAGAGAAAGGAGGTATAAACTATGCACTTCCAGTGTTCACTGGGTGTTAGCATATTGAATATGTATGTCATTTGGCATTTGTCCAACATATACTGAATGGCAAACACGAAATTTCATTGAATCTTCACAACAAACTATGAGGCCTATAGGCATCATTATCCCTGTTTTATGGGTAAGAAACCAGGCTTAGAGAGATTAATCTTCCACTCATATGCAATGGTAAGTGGGAGAGCTTGGTTTTGAATGCGGGTCTTCTGACTTCAAAGAACATGCTCTTTGCTCTATACTTCCACAATTTCAGAGTCTTTGAGGATTGCAGAAGAATTATTATTTTAAAAAATTAAATGGCAGAGCCCAAAGAACTGATTATCTTCCTCAAATAAATATTACACCAGGGCACCTGGGTGGCTCAGTTAGCTAATTAAACGTCCGACTTCGGCTCAGGTTATGATTTTATGGTTCGTAGGTTGAGCTCTGCGCTGACAGCTCAGAGCCTAGAGCCTGCTTCAGATTGTGTCTCCCTCTCTCTCTGCCCCTTCCCTGCTCATGCTCCCTCTGTCTCTCAAAAATAAACAAGCATTAAAAATTTTATTTTAAAATAAGATTACACTATCTGAAAGAGGGGCATACAAAATAAGGCAGTATATAAGAACTTGGGAAAGAAAAGGTTAAGCAGCAGATCCATAATCCATTCTTTCCTGTTTTGGGGGTGGAAGGACCACTCTTCTTCCTACCCCTCCCACCTTCAGCAAAAAAAAAAGATCAGGCTAATTGCTTGGTAAGCATACCAACGACAGACCTCCCGATAAACAGACTAATGGTATGTGTTTCAGGAGACTCTCATCCACGGAGTGCTTTTAGGACTTACCTACTCTTAGGACTGCTTATGGCAAAGGAACCTAGAATGTACGGATTTATGGGGCCTGACCCCGTGGGGAATGTTACATAAGTTATGTAATTATCTGAGTATTATCTGGAGATGTGTCATCACCAAGAAAGCTCCTTCTATGTCTGCAATATGAACTACACATATTGCTCATGGCCCTCATAGAGAACTTTATTCCAGAGGGTGCCCAATGCAAAAAGGACTCAGGGAGCCATTCTGATGTACCAGGATCCTTGAGATTATTAGTAAGGTTTAATACCGGGTACACTCTCTAACTCACATGAGTCTGATTTGACAGTCCCAATTCTCTGGGTTATCTCTATACTTTGTCACAAAAGTCTACATGCAATCATGGGAGCTTCCCCTGGCTTGAGACTTTGACCTAAGATTTTAAAGATAGGTAAAATTTTCAAAGGTGGAGGGGAAATGGAGGATGTGAAGAAAGAAAGAAATGTCAGAATAACCCACAGGTACATGAGACACTAAGTGTTTAAAACTGACTCTAATGAGTAGTAAGAAATAAATCTGGAGACATAGGGAGCACATTGCAATGAACGTCAAAGTCAAAGAAGAGTCTAAACAGGATTCCATTTTTAGGAGAAAATAAGGTATAGAAAGTGGAACACAGGGAAGATTACGTCGGCAGATATGTAAGGAAAGGACTGAAGAGAGGGTGAATCTGGAATGAGGGAAGTCAGTTGGAAGGCTCTGGCTGTAAGTGAACCACGGACATCCTGAAGGTCCCCAACTAGGACCATGGATATGGAGTGAAAGGAACAGCCAACATTACACAGAAAACAACATCAGTAGACCTCATTAAATAACAAGGTAAGGGTAATAAAGCATCATAATAAATCCATTGGCAAATATGAGCAACTACCTCCCTCCATGGGGTAGAGCTTAATTCCCCCTCTCCCTTGAGAGTAGGCTATACTTTGTCTCTTGCTCTTAAAGAATAGAGTAAGGGAAAGAAAAAACTTCACTGTGGAGAAACCTGGCAAATACCACCTGAACCATGTGATGAAAGTTCAAATCCCCACTGATGTCATGTGGACATTACACACCTCCTGATACAGTGTGATGACAAGGGCACTTTGCCTCCATGGAATTCTTCCCCAAACCCCATCACCTCCATCCAGTAATAAGAAAAACAGACAAATCCAGACTGGGGGGACAGTTTATAGAATAACTGGACAGTACTTCTTAACACTGTCAAAGTCAGAAAAATGGGGAAAGACTCAGAAACTGTTACAGTCCCCAGGAGACTGAGACGACATGACAACTGAATGCAACATGGCAGTCTGGACTCAATCCTAGAACAAAAAAGAAAACACTAATGGGAAAACTGGTGCAATCTGACAAAATCTGGAGTTCACCTAATAGTGACGTATCGATGCTGGTTTCTTAGTTTTGACAAACGTTCCATGGTAATAGAAGACATCAGCAACAGGAAAACTAGGTGAGGAGGATATGAGTTCCTGTGCTATCTTTGCAACTTTTCTGTAAATCTAAAATTAGAAGACTATTTTTCTTAAATGACGGACGAAGGTGATGTCAATATCAGAATTTGCGAATAAGTTGGTGTCAAGAATATGAATAGGAAGGGCACCCAGGTGACTTAGTCAGTTAAGCATCTGACTCTTGATTTTGGCTCAGGTCATGATCTCACAGTTCTCGAGTTCGAGCCCTGCACTGAGCCCTACGTAGGGCTCCCCACCTACAGTCTGGACTTTCTTGGGATTCTCTTTCTCTCCACTCTCTCTCTCTGCCACTCCCCTGCTCCACACATGCACACAAGTGCTCACACATGCTCTAAGTAAATAAATAAACTTGAAAATAAAAAGTATGAATGGGACCCAAGATAAACCCAAGTATAATAAAGCATCATCACCCTTCCAAAAGAGCTCTGTTCAAAAGCTAGGACCACCACTTTGTAGCTAAGGGATCTTGGATAAGTTTCTCTAACCCCTATAAGGTTTGGTTTCCTTATCTGCACAATGGTAATAATTGTTAATATCACATATTCTCATTTTATGATCTTGGGAAAAAATTTCCCCAAACTAAAGGTAAACAGCATAAGTTTAAAATAATGGTATCAGTAACCTACCGTTGATTCACAAAAGGGCTGGAAAGTTCTGCAAGTAGGCGAAAATTCCCAATGTATGCCAGCACTCCATTCTTCTGGATGATAAACATAAAAAACAGTGTCAGGGAGGACATTCTTATCAAAATTTCCAAATATTAAAGCAACCTTCAATAACTTCTCAGCATAACAATCAATGTCAAAATAGACCAAGTCTCCTAGCTGATTTTCTTCTTTATGAGAAATTAGAAATGTCACTAGAATTCTACATTATTTTTAAAAGACAGTATATTGTACACTTATGTTTGCTTATAAAAACAGATTTTAAGCTGTTGTCTCATGTTGAACTAATGAAATCTGCAAATAGCCATCGGTAACAGAATCCTCAAATTGCTGTAGAAATAATGATCAAAATAGTGTGAATTTCAGTTGAGGCATTTTAGAGCAATTAAATACCTAATAGAAACTCATTCTTATATCCATTAATAAAAGCACCTTTAAAATCTCAAAAGTGTACTTTCTATCCTAAATAACAACATGTGAGCCTGTGAGCAGATGCTTATTTGCCAAATGTAACAACACAGGCTAAAACTGATCTATCACATTTGACCTGAAAAATACATTTGTCAATTGGAAGTTCCTACAGCTAAAACACATAATTTCAGGACCTTTCTGAATTTAGAAATGAGATGCCTAGTACACTGTATGAATTTAATAATGGGAAAAGTAGGGAATTAATAAGCATTAGAAAGAAAACCAAATGCATATATTCCAAAAATATCATGACATTTAAAAACTGTTACTAGGTAAATAGAGTCATTCCCCCACTTCTAGTTACATCAGAATTATGATTGCACATAAAAAGAAATATTCCTACCTGCCCCCAAAACATTAGGTATACATGGAGCTTCAGAAACACTGGTCCTAAAAGCTATACCACACTGCCTTCCAAATGGGAACAATATAAAACAATTAAAAAAAAAAAAAAACCTTTTTATTTGAAGAATTTCAGTTCTTCTCCATGGAAATTATTTTAGGGATTAAAAATTCAGAGCTGGTTTTAAGAATTAGCTTTTCCAAGGCTAATGTAGAACTTGTAATAATCTCAGACTCACTGGCCTTAGTGAAACTGAAGCCTGTGATGAGGAGGAATAGGAGGGCCAAAGGCAGTGGGTAAGGTGCGTACCATGCTCAGGGGTGACTGACTGTACCTCAAGTCAACCGAGACGTGGCCATACCTGTCCAATGCACATGACAACATAGGAGAAATAACTGTGCACGTGTGTTAGGACTTTATCATGGAAATATGAAGAATCAGTGTTTATTTGAAATTACATATTGTTCTGTATTATTCGCTTTTCTGTTACAACAAAGGCTTTTATTTAAACAAACAAGATTAGTTAACAGCGGTAAATAGTAGTAATTAAGAATAGGACTAATTTAACAAATAAAATGCATGAAAATAATATTTTTAGGTTTCCTTCTGTCCTTTTAATTTTCTTTTGGATATTTAAATTTAGAAAGATATATTATTGTATACTTTTAAGAAACATAAATCTGAGACTTTGTAAAAGGGAGAATGTAAATACAATGGGACTGATTAGTTGTTACCTATATTTAATAAAAAAGTAATAGTGACATCTTCTTATCCACAATACAGTAGGATATTTTTATTTCTTTCTTTTTCCAGTATTACTTCTCCGAACTGCCTACAGCCTACAGTGTGCCAGTCGCACGCGCGCGCGCGCGCGCACACACACACACACACACTCTTTTTCCCCCCAGGAATGAAATACAGTCCAATGTAAAATTCACTTTGACTTTTAGCTCTGCTCTTAGGAATCCACATTATTGGCATCAGTCCAGTAGGATGACCTCAACCCAAATATTTTCTTAACAAAGGTGTGAGCATAGAATACTTGAGACTTTACTTACTAGCAACAGCAGGCTTTTTAGAGTTCTAAGAATTAAGTTCCCAGCTCTCTCAAAAGGTCCATCCACTTTGTATCTATAGGTTTGTTTTGCTAGACCAGCTATTTGTCCCTAAGGTCCTTTGCATGTACAAATTCATCATATAAACTATCCATTTCTAAAATATTCATCCTTGGGGCACCTGAGTGGCTCAGTCGGTTAAGCGTCCATCTTCGGCTCAGTTCATGATCTCATAGTTTTTGGGTTTGAGCCCCACATCAGGCTCTGTGCTGACAGCTTGGAGCCTGGAGCTTGCTTCAAATTCTGTGTTTCCCTCTCTCTCTGCCCCACTCCGGCGTGCGCACTCTCTCTCTCTCTCAAAAATAAACACTAAAACATTTTTAAAAAATAAAAAATAAAATAAAATATCCTTTTTCAGTACTTCAAAGCACACAGGATGGATTCCAAATAAGTTACAGTTCTAGCAAAGAAAATCCTGTTCAATGTGGCTACCGTTGTCTGGTAACGTTCTTGAGTTCAGAAGCAGTCATATTTCCCCCAAATGAGCCATTCTTCCATTGTATGCTTGTCACAACCTACAAACTACATTAAGTAACAGAGGTGCTGACAGTTCATCTTTTTCTAGCTGCTTACAGGTTCCTCAGCAGTCATCAGTTTTAAAGAAACGATACGTAAATATCTGATTATTTAATGTAATACTTTTTGTCTTCTCATCCTCGATTTATTTCCAAATTACAGGATATTCTCCTTGCCTCATACTCTAAACATACGATTTTATAGCTGGCCAATGTGTGCTGGCAACAATTGTAGCTATCTTGGGGCGCCTGGGTGGCTCAGTCGGTTAAGTGTCCGACTTTGGCTCAGGTCATGATCTCACGGTTCGGGGGTTTGAGCCCCGCGTCGGGCTCTGTGCTGACAGCTAGCTCAGAGCTTGGAGCCTGTTTCGGATTCTGTGTCTCTCTGATCCTCCCCTGCTCACGCTGTCTCTCTCTCTCTCTCAGAAATAAATAAAACATTAAAAAATTTTTAAAAACAATTGTAGCTATCTTATAGGCACAGGCCTATGGAAGCCATCTCCCTCCATTTCCATGAAGTCAAATCTCTCGTTGTTTCTGCAGGTTTTGAGGAAGCTAAAGGTAAGAAAGAACATTCATTATGAAAGCCTCGACATCAGAGGTAAGCAAATCATATCCCTTTGTGGCACTGTTCTACGCAAGGTGTGGAAGATGTTTCACAGGTAATATCTTTTCATTTTCTTTGGCGAGAAGTGGATAGACCGAATGGAATTTGCCAAGTTTACATTTGCACTGTGTGCAGACTGAGCAAAATCTAATTCATCTTGGAACCACACATCAACAATTATTGTTTTATGTGGTTTCTTTATAATCGTCATAGGAGTCAAAAATTCACCTTGAGACTCCTTTTTTCAAATCCCAGTAGCTAAGAGCTAGGGGAATGTGTTTTTAGTGCTGTGGTTCCATTCAACATTTGCTAGAGGAAATAAAGTATGATCATTGGGAAGATCCAACAGAATCAGCTCTCTATACTGTAAGAAACCAACACATCTGGTACCAGCATTTACCCCTTTTTCCACCTACAGGATGTGTTAGTTGCAACCTCTGAATCAGATAATGTAACTTTACTCAGTTTCATAGAGCAGTCAAGGGAACTATAAAATGTATATATCCATGTGGTATGTCCAAGTTCATTATTTCAATGTCTGCCATTTTTTCAACTGAGTGTCAGTGTCTTTGAGAAGATGAAAAAAGTACAGCTCCATTTAGATGTACTTGCCTGTCTCATTCCAGACTTGTAAGACACAGTCGCTTTAGGTGCTTTTCCATCCCCATCCCTAGACAGGCCCATATTAGGTTGCTAGGGCTGCTATAACAAAGTACCACAGGCTGGGTGGCTTGAACAACAAAAACGTATTGTCTTACAGTTAGTTCTGGAGCCTAGAAGTCCAAGATCAAGGTGTTGGCACACCCATGCTCCTTCTCAAGGTTCTAGGGAAGGACCTGCTCTGGCCTCTCTCCTAGTTTCTTGAAGTTCCTTGGCTTCCAGGCAGCCCAACTCCAATCTTCACAGGGTGTCTTCCCTGTGTGCATATCTGTGGCCAAGCTTCCCCTTTTTATAAGGATATCAGTCATATTGAATTAAATGACCCATCTTATTCAACTATGACCTCATGTTCACTTAAATAATTACATCTGTAATGGCCCTATTTGCAAATAAAGTCACATTCTGCAGTACTAGGGCTCAGAACCTTGAGATAAGAATTTCCAGCAGGATATAATTCAGACCATAACAATGCCCAATCCTAAATTCTTTTCTGCATATTGTACAGTCTGGTCTTTTTTAGTTATCTAATTTCCTAACACATGTGTCTTTCCATCCATCCATAATAACATCCTTATATACTTATATTATACATATTTCCATATATAGTAACTGTAACAGTCTTTATTGGTGGTCTTTGGGGCATTCTGGTGTTGGTATCATGGTGTTCGTGTTCTCATTATCTGAACTTCCAATGGGCAAAGATGACTGTTAATGCTCGTGATTACAAAACATTCCTATGGTATCATTCAGTGTAATATGGCAATGAATGATCCATTATTAGGAATTGCAAATCATGGTTGCCACAGTTATTTTGCATCAAAGGGAAAGACTTCACAGGATGTGGGATTTTCAGGGGTAAAACAGGAAAACCAGGATGGACTTGGGGAGGCCACTCCCATCTTTATTGTGAATTTTATTATAATGAATCCCAAATGATAAAGTTTTTCATTTTAATAATCAAAATCACATTCCTAGCTCTAAGAAAGAGGAATGAATAAAGAGTAAATGTCTGATGTCTCTAACTCATCCAGCACAAAGAAGCACTTCCAAGTAATAGGAAGCAAATTGCATTTCATATTCCAAGTTCCTGGATGCTTTGTAGACTTATTTTTGAGTTTTAGCGATTTGTTTAAAGTTTAGGTGAGTGTTTCCAAAGGAAGTGGTTGGAATATTTCAGTTAAGAAAAGGTCAGGAAAATAAGTAACTGTGTTTAGTTGGAGACCATCCCAGTAAAATTAAAAAGCCGAAATGCTCTGCTTTTCTCTCCCCCCATAGTTAAATTCTTCAGCGAGTAGGGCAAAGGAGAAGAGCCAACTAGAACATG